GTAGGTACACGCTATACACACAGAGCTGACTGTAGGTACAGGCTATGCCCATAGAGCTGGCTGTAGGTACACGCTATACACACAGAGCTGACTGTAGGTACACGCTATACACACAGAGCTGACTGTAGGTACACGCTATACACACAGAGCTGACTGTAGGTACAGGCTATGCCCATAGAGCTGGCTGTAGGTACATGCTATACACACAGAGCTGACTGTAGGTACACGCTATACACACAGAGCTGACTGTAGGTACAGGCTATGCCCATAGAGCTGGCTGTAGGTACATGCTATACACACAGAGCTGACTGTAGGTACAGGTTACGCCCACAGAGCTCGCCGTAGGTACAGGTTACGCCGACAGAGCTGACCGTAGGTAAGGTTTTTTACAATTCATTAACTAGATAATTGATTAGATTTTTTTTTTGTCACAGTAAATATATTTTATATTGTATTTTACAGTTGCATATTTTTAGCTTCATCAGAAAAGAGGACATGTGGAAGTTCATCTACGAGCACATCCAGTGTGTGAGTACAGAGATAAACAGCACAGAACACTTCAATGTACTAAAGTCCTGACCCTGCTTTTTGGTTTGCATCGATAGTCTTTATTGCGTTGACAGTAGTTTACTTACGGATATTATTGATTCAGTGCCTCATAAACATACATGTACATTGTACACGTGTGCTTTGTAGGTGCCTGTTCTCCTCCACTGTATGCTCAGCTATGTTCAGGATGTTAATCTTATTCTGGCTGCCTACATCTAGTTTCAAGAGGAGGGGAGCCATGGTGTCATCCTGTTCCTCTATAGTCTTGTCTTCTCCAGGACCATTGACAGGTAGACGCCACCCCCTTCCCAAATCGGCCTATGGGGATGAGTGGCGGGCGGGGCAATGACTGGCCCAGTTCCAAGTTTTACATGAGTATCTGCAGCACTAGGACTAGTGATTCTACTGCAGGCATTAACGGGCTGCACTTTAAAATTCACCCTGGTGGAAGAATGAACAGCTAACAGTTGTTTTTTTTATTTCCTTCAAGGTTAAAAGATGATCTTGATTCAACCACCTCACACCTCTTACATCTCAGTCAGGGAAACTTTGCGTGTCACCAGGTAAGCAGGCAGTAGCCAGTTGCTCATTGGCTGCTCATATTCCACAGTAACCAGGGCAACCACTGATGTAATAGATGTGGTCTGGCCAGTGCAGCAGAGGTTCATGGTTTTCTTGAGAGAAACGTTTTGATGCAAATTGTCACATTAGACTTGGCTGCTTGATGGGGCACTGAAAGCGTGTGGAATATACCGCTTGGACTCTTCTTGTACGGAAGAAGTTAAACCAACACAAAATGTAGCTCGATGACAACCTGTTTGTGTGTGTGTGTGTGTGTGTGTGTGTGTGTGTGTGGGCTGAAGAGGATGCTGTGGGTACTCTCTCTCTCTCTCAGCTGCCTGACACCTTCTCTCCTTCCTATATGACATCATAGTAAAAGTGAACCAAAGTCCTTTTTAAAACTTTCCATACTGCTGTGTCCTCTTACAAAACTGAAGATGGCATTTTTGGGCTCTGTGCTTCAAAAATAAACCTGTATAATATTTGAACTCCAATATCACTGCTTTCTGCTACTGCACACTTTTTTTTTCTTTGTTCAGAAGACCTCATTACAATCAATTGTATTGCCAAAGCACTGTAGCATTAAAACACCTCCCTGTTCCTGAAGCACTGAGGTCCTCACCTGTTAATGCCACACAGGTCTTCACCTCATCAGGGGGGCGAACCCATTGGCTGAAATTACGGTGGACAAAAATGTCTTTCCCTGTGTTCCTAACATCTAACAGCAGAGAGAAGCATGTTGATTATTGCACTGTGAATGCTGCTGGTGTTCTAGTGCTGTGCTTCCTGAGGGGAACGGTGCCTGCTTGCTTTATTGACATCTGTATTTACAAAAACCACAGTTTTCACAATTTGCTTCACATCAAAGATAGAGCTTTCTCTGCTGGTTCCCAGGCCCTACTGAATCTCCTGCTTACGGGCCGGGCGAGTCCCAATGTGTTTAACGGCACTGTGCAGTTTGACGAGGCTGGGGCGCCACTGCTGCAACCCCTGCGGGGGGTGCTGGTGCGCAGCAACGTGGGATATCTCAACTGGAGCTGGGAACAAGGGCCACAAACCCCCCTACCTCAGGTACAGAGCCGCACCCCGTATACCTGAACGCTAAGCTAGCAAGGCTAACAGCCAACATCAGCCGGCCCACATTTTTGCTCCCTCCGAGCCTCTTGCCAGACTGTCCACATTGGAGCTGGGAGGGAGCAAAATCGTAGACTGTCTGTAGGACCCTGAGGACCGAATAGGAAACACTGCACCAGAAAATCCCTCATGAAGCTTAGGATGTGTGGTGCTCTGGTCCTTCTCACCCAGGTGGGTAGCATGCTGAAGACCCCCAAGTTGCCTGTGTGGGTCTGCTGCATCAACGGTACCTACAGCATCCTCTTCAGCCTCAACCGAGCGCTGCTCTCCAACTGGAGAACGGAGCACCTATTCGAGCTGCATTTCTACAACGGGCAGCCTTCTCAAAAGAGAACCGCTGTTCTGACCATAGGTACTGGGACATGCCCGCCTGCACCTACCATGATTCCCCTGCTCCAGGGTTGCCAGCTCTCACGCTTTCAGACTCTCCCGCTCACACAAGAAATTTTACGGAAAATCTATATTATTCCATCATAAACCCCAAATTAGCTTCATTAAAAGCGTTGAGGTGGTCTGCAAACCCTACCATTTACAATGTGAGATGCATGTAAATGCGTGTGCGGACTTGTCTCGAATTGAAAATCTCACTGCAGTCAGCTGACCAAACTTGGCAACCCTGCTGCTCACGCATCCCTGACCCTCCACCCTCACCATTTCAGACACACACTCACAGCACTGGGAACCTCGGACCACGGATGCCCAGGGGGACCTTGAAAAGAAGTTCCCGTCAGTGGACATGACCATCCGGACCAAGTGGGAAGGGGCTGTTATTAACTGGAATGGGGTGGTTCCCTTTTTTTGAGCTCTAGTATGTAATACAGCTTACAGTATCACATGCAATGTTTCATTCCAGGTCCAGGAACTACAAATCTAGAGCAAGATTTGTTTCTACCAACCAGTTCAGCATAAATAGCCACAGGCACAGAGTACACAACTGCTTGGTAGAAACAAAATCATGGTCTGGATTTTTACTTTCTGGATCTGAAATGTCCAACACTGATTACGTGGCAAAACTGTCGTTTTAATATTGACTTAAGATGTCTATCGCAACAACTGTTTTGTTTCTATTTAGTATGAATTCATCTCTGCTTCTAGTAAAACTTACAGGCACAATTGAAAGTTTCATTTGAGCAACGAATCAGTTTATCCTCTAAAAATTTTCCAATTTGTATGTATACGACTCATTTTATTACATGCTTAATTAATACGGACGTACAGATCAAAACTTAAAATTTTCAGTATGGTGTAGATTTAATATTTCCGACCAACGTGCTGGTATATTCAAACTGTCTAATGCTTTTGAGTTCTGACAAACGTACGTTTCTATAATAAAATAATTCAAATCGACTTAAATTTTTCAAGTGAAGTTTCAGTTAATAAAATGGATCATAGTGTGATTTTTAAAAACTGCACGTCACCATTTCAGGCATCTTCATTTACCAGATTAAACCCGAAAAAAACGCTGTTGTGTAAGAGTTAAACCGAAGTAGAATGAGTGTGTGAATAAGACGCCGCTGCGCGCCGTGTGTGAATGAGGGGCGGATTACAGCGGCTGCTCTGAGCGCAGACGACGGATCAGCACCTTTTATTGGCGGTGGTAAAACGGAGCGGGCGATGCTGTGGGACACTGCGGCGTTTTAAGGAGGCCACATCCCGGAGGGGTTCAGGGCCGATCGTGCCTGAACCGACGGCTCGGAGAAGCCAGCCGGCTGGTGCGCTCCCTGCGACATGACTATGTGCGAGAAGGTACGGAGTAATAGCGAGAAGGACACCACTGTCATCTGGAGCAACCGCTGCTGCCGACTGACCGGGCGGCGATGAGCCGGCCGTCCTCTACCGGCCCCGGCGCCGCTAAGACCGGCGCCAAAGCGCAGCACGGTGCTCCCGCGGCCCCTGGGCCGGCCTCGGTGCGGCCCTGCGCAGCTCTCCCCGCAGCGGCAGCTGTCAGCCCCGCGCAGCACCAAGAGCTCACCTCCCTGTTCGAGTGCCCGGTGTGCTTCGACTACGTCTTGCCTCCGATCCTGCAGTGCCAGGCGGGGCATCTGGTTTGCGGCCAATGCCGGCAGAAGGTAACCTGCTGCCCGACGTGCAGGGGCACGCTCACCCCGAGCATCCGGAACCTGGCCATGGAGAAGGTGGCATCTACGCTGCTGTTTCCCTGCAAGGTACCGTAACGCGCAGGGACCGGACCCCAGGCAGCCGCCATTCATCGCTAAGCGCTTGGCGTTAATTCAGCGGCTACCATTACCCCACCCCCAATCTCCGCATTTCACTGGGTTATTGTCGGATATGAATCCCAAAGTATAAAATTCAATCGGCATGCAGTGTCCGGCTGTCTGATGAGAGTTTACTACACCAAGCTGACAGGCTCGTCGGGAAAGTCCCATCCTGTTAGTGTAGGACTCGGGATCAGGATCCAGATCAGACCTATAGGACCAGGCGGGCCTTGTGTCAAGCAGTTGCAATTTCTGAAAATACTTTATTTTATACACTATAAAATGTCATCTTGATAAGTACCACCTTGCAGGACACCACTTTTTAATGTGCAGTATTCTAAGGCATTTAAGGGTAATTTCTAAATGTATATTCTGTGCCTTTGCTATTTGATGCCTGTGCCTAAATTTGCCCGTCTCCCTCTGCGGTCAGTTTGCCTCCACCGGATGTGTGCTGACCCTCCCCCACACGGAGAAGCCCGGGCACGAGGAGCTGTGCGAGTTCCGGCCCTATTCCTGCCCCTGCCCCGGAGCGTCCTGCAAGTGGCAGGGCTCGCTGGATGCCGTCATGCCACACCTAATGCACCAGCACAAGTCCATCACCACCCTGCAGGGCGAGGACATCGTCTTCCTGGCCACGGACATCAACCTGCCGGGCGCCGTGGACTGGGTCATGATGCAGTCCTGCTTCGGACGCCACTTCATGCTGGTTCTGGAGAAGCAGGAGCGCTACGAGGGCCACCAGCAGTTCTTCGCCGTCGTGCTGTTGATCGGCACCCGCAAGCAGGCCGAGGGCTTCGCGTACCGTCTCGAGCTCAATGGGCACCGCCGGCGACTCACCTGGGAGGCCACGCCCCACTCCATCCACGACGGCGTGGCCTCCGCCATCATGAACAGCGACTGCCTGGTGTTCGACACGGCCGTTGCCCACCTGTTCGCGGACAACGGCAACCTGGGCATTAACGTCACCGTCTCCGCCTGCTGCCCCTGAAGATCCTGTCCGGTTTGGGGCCCCTGATCCCGAGTTCCTTCTACCAGCACATGTTTTGTACCGTGAATGAAAGTTTCCATCCATTAATTTGCCATAAATAAATATTTTATTGACAATCAGCTTGTCTGCCTTTGTAAAGGCCTATGGAGAGGTAAGGGTCACAGCACAGCTGCAGGGGGGGGGGGTCTACACCATCCCACTCCACTGCAGAGAAGTATACAGCACCTCCTCCGGCTCGGCCCCCGGGGAGCACAGCAGGACGGTCTTCTTCACGTTGGCACCCAAGCGGGACAGGGCCAGTAGGTCACACAGCGACAGGGCCTCGTCCATCGGAAGGCATATCGCGATGAAGTGCGCGTGGAAGCGTAGGGGGTCACCTGGGGGCAGGTAGGCGGTCAGAGCAGAATGGGGATAGTGACCCCCAAAAATTCACCCGCAGGATCCCCTACCCAGGACACCAACCGGGATACACCAGGTAATCCCCGCCAAACTTCCCGCCGGTGGTGAGGTAGAAGCCCCGCCGCCTCAGGTCCCTGAAGACACGGTAACGGGCTTCCTGTCGCTCATCCCGAGGCGACAGCGAATCGGCAGCCAGGAAGCGCAGCTCCTCTGGGCCATAGCTCATACCGGCCCGGGCGGTGTTCAGCTGAACGGCCATGGCGGTACGGGGGAAAGTGAAGCCATGGTCGAGGGCCAGCAAGCGCTCCTGTAATGCCTGGTCACTCTGATTACTGCCTGGGGGGGTGACACGAAGTCAGTCGGCCATCAGTGACTGAATTGCCAAACACGGACTCCCATTAATTTCTCTAAATTATAATTGATCAGAAGCATGGACACTTTATGACGATGGAGCCCTACATTTACGAATCAAGACTTCCTACTTCCAAATAGGAAATTATGCAGTATGAACAACAGAAAATTAACATGGAGCTAAAGTTCTCACATCTGATTTATGTATCAGGCCAAGGAGACGGATTAAACAGGATCTGCCATATAACTAAAATCTACATCCCTTACTGACACATGGGTCATGTGATCCCTGTTCACCAATCACCGAACCTGGCTTAAAAATACTTCAAGCCTAAAATGTACTTGGAACCACACCATTTCACCAGTCACAATGATTGGTATCATAAACATGGGGTCTCATCTAGGGGCGATACTGAACATAGTCCCAGTCCAAGGGATATCAGTAACAATAAGAAGAAACAGCATCAGGTCGCAACTCCTCACCTTGCTTCTTATCCGCCATAACCCTCAACAGCACAGCCTTCTTGTCCTGTTGAGCCAGTTGGCTTTGTTCAGAATAGCTCTGGTCCATCTGCTCCTGGTGCTGTTTTACGAGCTCAGGGTTGGCCGCACCTGTGCTCTGAGCACAAGGACCTGTGAGCATGTTACGCATCGATCACGGGGCAGCCGCGCTGCTGGGGCTCCCAGACTGCGGGGGACACTTTCCGGCTGCTATTACCCACCTTCGGGCGCGATGACGAAAGCAGCACAGCTCGCCCCGCGTCGGCCAGCAGCCGCGCTTCCTCCCGCAGAAGTTCCAGCGGCCGTCCCAGTCGGCAGTTTTGCCGAGGCTGCCGGGCTAACGAGCCCATCAGAGTGCCCACCACGCCTGTCTGCCGTGCGGTCCTCACATCCCCGGCCCGCCACAGCAAAGGAGTGGACTCGCAGAAACAGACAGCAACGGTCCCTGGATTCGAAGCGGGATCGGCGCCCGCATCTCCTCTCCCAGCGGCGGCCATGGCTGTCTATCGGAGGGCTGCGGGTACGTATTAAAGGTTAGCAGGACACCAATTCTCCACTTTCATAAACTAACGAGTTACAATCAACTCATAGTAGTTGATTTAAATATATCAAATTTAGCCGAAAATCCGCTACAGCATCAGGCGCCCAAGTACGGTTACAGGGCAGTATTACTAACATGCGGGATAACTAAATGTGAAAGGTAAAGCTCAATAAGTTTATTGCAGTCGAATCCCACCAAAAGTCTTAAAGCGGATGCAGGAAACACGTGCCACAGCTTCTGATCGCGAGAGAAAATGCCCTCAGTTCATTGGCTGCTCGCCGCCAATGGGGCGGTACTTCCGGGGAATCCTAGAGGTGCGCAAGACGCTACGCTTCAACGCTGAAGCTGGATGATCTCGCATCACTCGGAAAGTAAATTAATTTTTTTTAAATGAATTACTTAATGTAAGCGAACAACTTCACTGAATCTTTTAAAAGCAGCACTGCTGGCCTTTACTTGGAAAGTTGTCACCAGGCCACCCAACAAGAAACCTGACGCTGACACAGCACATTAGGTTCAATGACTCACTTATTTTCAAACATTGTATGAAGCGGAGATTGTAAATAAAAGGTTAGCAGACCAGTTAAGCACGCCGCCCATATACAATCTAGCAGTTGTGTTTTGTGTAGTTAACAGCAAATTGATTTAGTCAGAAAAATTAAGACCACACAGGTATCCCATTATATGTAATCCACTTTAATATCATTTAAGTTCCTCTTTTTTGCTATAAAAAGAAATATAAAATTACAGTAGCTCAGAAATTAAATTAATGTTAAATGCTTGTATGATGTCACTTTTAATCCTGCTGAATCAAATATAAAATACAACTGCCACTGACTTTAAGCTATATTTCGGCTCAAAACATAAAATGAATAGATTTTGCATTTAAAAATTGCACAAAAAAAACTACAATTAAGACTGTCTGGCTGTCACAGATCCCAGTCTGCTGCAGGGGGCTTGTCTAGAGGCTCGGAGGAACGACGGGGTCTTCCAGTCTGTGCTAGCAGTCATCCTGCCTTCAGCACAGACCTTCATCAGTGTCGGTCATCAGCCAGGGGACATGCTCACCTCAAACCTGCAACACCGCAACGAGAAAGATGCATCTGTACACAATCCTGACATCTTTAACCGCTATTAGAACAAAGTGAATTTCATGACTAGAGGAACATGCAAGGCATAAGATGTAGTCATACAGGGGGGGTCTCAGACCGCAGACGGGGACAAGGGGCCGTTACGAGCGCTGGTGTGGGAGGGAGTCCATATGCACGTTCAACTTCATTTCATTGTCTAGGATCTGGACCAGCTGCTGCATGGAGGGCAAGTGGCCCGACTGTAGCTTGGACCACACTGGTACATCTGCAGGTAGAGTGAGGGGTTACTGTCACACAATAAGCCAGTATACACGAAAAAGACTTAAAAACACCATGTTCTGCCTTCTCAGATGACTGATACCATCGGTTCATTGACAATGCAACACAAACAAAATAACGATGATCAGGTCCAAACTCTGATGGCTTTACTTCTGTAATTATAAATCCACCATGGGTTCAAGACAAAGGCATGCTTGCTCCCACCTCCTAATCTTATTAACAGATTCCCATCTTTAGTAGCTACGGGACCATACTTTAGAGAGAGGATGGATACTCAAGTCAAGAATGAACCAATTAAGGTCCATTTTCCCACATCCCAAAGTTTCAAAAACACAACCTTACCATTTAACGTGATTTCAAAAGCTCCTGTAGACATACACTGGTTCTCAATCATATTGCTAAGGAAGAAGACCATCATGCAAGCATAGATCTGCCAGGAGGGAGAGAAGACAAAAACCAAAAAGGTAAGCATCTACAGAGCTCTGCTGATATTTAAGTAACAAAGAATTAAAGATAAATGTGCTCCAGTAACTGCAATGAGGCACACTGCTGCAGCGATACCAAGGAAAGGATCTCAAAGCAGTCAGCATCCAGCATGACCACACTGGGTCTTAGACACGCAATCCCTAGGCAACTAGGAAGGCTTGGGTGGTATGAGAGTCGGGGAAAAAAGCTTCACAGATTTCCCTTGGATATAATTAGTGATGAAACATGCTCCCATGCAACAGGCAGAAGAGACTGTTTGGCTTTCCCTGAAGGGCCCAACTGTATACCAGCAGAACAACAAAAGTCTACAGAAACTCAGCCCGTGTAGTAAACTCTCCTCTCTCCGTGACCTTACCTTATTCTCCTGTCCCCAGACCCAGAGTCTAGGGGTTTGCATACCAAAGAACGTAAATGGATCCTTGCCCAGAATAATCAGCCCAATCACGGCGAGCTTGAAGATGGACAGGAAGGAAGCTATGTGTCTGAGGGGGAGGAGGGGGGGGAACAACGACATAAGAAAATGCTGTCATGACTGAGCACACAGCAGTAGGGGAGCAAACAGGCATTTGCTTGTATTCAAGGCATATTTTACACATCAAATTGAGACTTAGGAAATTCTTACATGTGAAGTTCCTCGCATTTTAAACACAAAACACTTGCCCAGGTGGGTTTACTTGTTGTTAAACACAGAATGCAGGATATCTGGGCATTTGATTATCCAACAGGTGCAAGAATAAAAAGCACTAACTGGTACACATAAATATGGCGCCGCCCTGTCTTGTGATCCCAGCCCACAAAGAGCAGCGGTGGATGAGGGCTCTCTTACCGGTAAATGGGTAGTGGCAGGTAACTCTCCCCTTCAATGCGGATGTCTGGGTAACGCTGGTTAAGAACCCGCGTGTACTCCTCAAACACCCGCTTGTAGCCTCAGGAAACGCTGCGTTGTGGGAAAGAGAGGTCAGCAACAAGGTAATCCGCATTCCCTTTCACAGATGCAGAGCAGCCAACTCTGGTCAGCTGGCCAGAGTGAGATTTTCAATTCAAGTCTGCACACAAATGCACACGCATCTACAATTGTGTAAGTATTTTATTACCTGGTAAATAGTCTATTGGGTTTGCAAACTACCGCAGCCCTTTTTAAGTAGCTAATTTTAGGTTTATTATGGAATAATATAGATTTGCTGTAAGATTTCTTGCGTGAGCATGAGTGTCTGAAAGTGTGGGTGTCACGCCAGATGCGTGAGAGTTGGCAGCCCTGCAGATACACACATCACTCTCATGTGGAGTCTATCAGCCTCCTTTCTCAATGAATCAGAACCTGGCAACGTGAAGACTGTAAAGATAATAAAAGCACACGACAGTGAACGTAAACATTCATGGTTAAACGTACATTCAGTGCATATGATTAACTGCTACGTGACCCAGTCATGCGAGAAAAACGTGTAGGTAAACCTGACACTATGCCAGATGGAATCTCCTCACTGGGTAATTTACGTAACTTGACACCCAAGTTATTGAGCAACTGGGCATGAGTAAAAAGTTAAGCTGTATTATGCAAATGAGCCGCTCACTCACAGGAAGTTGCGACTTGGAACGTTAGGAGGTCCATAGAAAAATGGCATCCAGTTGACCCCGAAATCCCCAGAGAAAGAGCCAAAATGGCACCCAGTACAAGGTAAACACCCCAAAGAGTCGTAATGGCACCCTTTTAACTCAGCTGGCCAGCGAAAGGACCGAAGCGGTAGCAAGTTCACACCCGAAAGCAAAACATGAGGTTAACGTCAGATGGCACTGCCGGGAAAAGGGCATCTCAGGCGGCTACGGGGCTACCGCCACCCAGGCGGGGCTTCTGCAGGTCGGCTCCGGGCTGCGTCATGGCGGTCCGCCGGCCTCGGAGACGCAGGAGACCGGCATCGACATCGAGCTGCTCGGCGCCGCCACCGAGATTTAATTGGTTTGTAGGAACGCGCGCCGGGCGAAATAGTTAAAAGCAGGTGGCTAGTAGCTAGCAAGATGTCGCCCGACAAAGCGATTGGAGGCCTAGGAACGGCAGCCCTCCCCCACCCGACCAGGCACGGAGAGATCGGGACCCCGCTCGACCACATTTAACCAGTCGACCTTAAGCGCCATCGGCCGGCTGTGTGTGGCCGGGAACCGGGCTGGACCGGCCTCCTGAACCACCTTACGTACCAGATCTGGAATTTCAGGAGGGGCCCGGTGGCGAACTGCATCTTCAGCTTTTTTACACCGCCGGTGTCAGCGGAAGCTCCGTACAAAAACAGGCCTCCGAAGAAGAGCAGAGCCAGCGACAACGTGCGCTTCCCCATATTGCCGCCTCGACTTCTGCGCTCCCCACCGCACACGGCGTATTATCAGCGGCACGGCCAGGCGGGGGCGCTCAAGCGCTCTGACGTGGGCGCTGGCTGTATGGGAAATGAAGTCCTCGGCATACAGATTAATGCTTTCGTTAAAAACGTTCAAAGCCTACATATCTGAACCCGTTTTCTATTAATATTTTTATGAATTATCTTGTGAAAAAGCCAATTTTCCCCCGGAGTCTCTCAATACGTATGTGTACACAACTGCTGATGACAATAAAGTACCTTGAACCTTGAAAACACACACAAACACACACACACACACACACACTGCACTAGACTTTGACACTTCAACACCTAAAGGTTAAGGCAGATTACGCACTGTTAGTGTCATAGGGCATCTTGAAGCCTTGTACCATCTCCTCATTCCTGTCCAGCACTGAAACCAGAATGTGTTGACAGAATGACGTATTGTCAAGGCAATCATACATACCTGTTAACTACACCTCCTAAATGCTATGTTTTAAGCAAATGATAAAAGCAAAAAATAAAAAACAGCAGTTTAAAGTCCATGTTATTCAACCTAAGCAGGAAAAAGCACAAATTACAATACTTTTTACCAGCAAATTTTATTGCCTTGTAGTAAGTTTGATAGGAACATTACTGCTGGACTCTGGAACAAATCTCGAATTATATTTAACAAGTTGTCAAGGGCGATGTCCCAAATCGAAAAGCATTTGCTTTAAATCAGTTTAGCAAAAATAAATGGTCTTACACTTCAGATCCTATCACCAGTCCATGTTGCCAGTTTCCCTGTGTGGACGCATTTATACATTGAGAAATGCTTATTAGCTAAATTCCCCCTTCTGTTTAAGGCTAATGCTTATGGTCTAAACAGGAAAATCAGCAGCAAACCCAGCCTATCACAAATGCATATTCTCACCAAATTTCATAAAGGCAAACGTAGGTAGCTGAGTAAGACCAGCATTTTCCCAGTACAGTTTGTGACATTCCCTTAACCGTGAACCATTATTCCATTCAAAGTCCCAACTCC